CAAGAGCATTCAGAAATGTAACGTTATTGAATTTGTAATATCACGTCTTTGCATAGGGTTTTGTTATGGGAACTAAATTAGTATGATAAGGTATAACACAATGAACACAAACTCCGAAAATATTAGACAAAATCGTCGTAAAGAGTTATTTCCCATATGACTATGTAAATGTACGCTTTATTGATGAATCTGTTCTTTCCAAGAATTCTCCAAATATCCCTTAAAACTGACATTTGATTTTTTTCTGCTACTTATCATAACTTTTAAAAAATAAAAAACAGTACCGATGTTGAGTAACACTGGTATGAAAATTGACACGTGTTGCCTGTGGTTTTTTTTTGTGTTTGTGTTTTGTTTTTGGATAAAGATAGTTGACATACAGGCAAAGTATCTTCAGTGAAAAGAAGCTACAAACTACTATTGTTCATACAGTTATGTATAAAAAAAATATCATACATTCCATACACTTTATTTTATATCTATACATTTGCCATATACACTCGTTTAAAAGGCGAATCATCTGCAAACCAAAGAGTCTATATGCGCAGGGAGATCTATGTCTCTGCAGTTTGTCAGTAGTAATCAATATAATAAAAAGCATATAACCTGATCTGTTGAAATAGTAGTCTACAGTACATCGTGATCTTTGTCGTTTGCAGTTTGTCTAGACTTATCAGCGAGTAAAGATCGTATAAGCACAGTTGTCTGTATAGGGAATGTTACAACGATAATAAAACAAAAATACACCGTTATTGGTTGTCTACGGGTACTGTGCCCTAACTTCCACCTCCAGCCACGACAGTAAATCGCTGGAATCGATCATTTACGAAATAAAAATAGTGCACAATTTATTTCCCATTATGTTGTACACACACGAATTATATCAAGTGTACACGACATTAGATCAAATAGAGCAGATAATATACGTCGTGCACACGAATTGTGCGTTTCGCTTTTATTTATATATAAAGAAGAAGAACAGTCTTTGACGACTTTTAAATTATTTTTTCGGTTAAATGCCGTTTTTTAGCGCAAGTAAGACTATGTATGGCGTCAATTATATGTTGTGGAGGAATAACAGGGAGACCACTGTAAGAACCAACTGTTTTGGCCGAGCCCGAGACTCGAACCCAGAGAGTGGTGAGATGGCAATGATCGGTAATGTCGAGCTATTTTAGACCATTGGTCAAACCGCCCCCCCCCATTTTAAAGAAAACGGTTACAATCCATTAAATACATGTAGTAAAACACTTAATAAGGGATTAGAGCGAATATACCAAAATATATAATATATACCTTGAAATGTGCAGTCAGGTTTCTTAGTTAGACATAGCAACTCGTCCAATTAATTTCTTTATTATAAATTTTACAAACATATCCTTATTTCCACATAGGACATTTTTCACCATACAGGGAACTTGTTATTATTGTGAGTCATAGCTCACCTCATGCAATATAAATTCACCTTATTAGCAAAACAGCGCACGCGCTTCCGAATAGCGTCGGCCTACATATTCGCTAAAAAGTGTACATATTCCAAAACAAAACGGAAATGTACTGTATACAGTTCTACTTGCGTTAAAAACCTGCGCAGAATATTATCTGTATTCGCAATTAGGCGATCTTACTTCTGCTTTTTTCTGAACTTACATCTTGCCGTTTATCAAAAGGTCAGCCTTGAAACAAAATCACTGATTAGGCGTTATAAAAAGCCCATCATACAGATAGTTGTGTAAAAGAATAACTAGGTCTACAACGCGTGCCATCCACATGTATCATTTAAAAATATTTATCTGTCGTTTATCAAATAAAAATTACATATATTTTAACAATTTTGAGACAGTAAAAATTTGCTCAGTAGCACGTATGCAAAATATTGTCAGGATATATTTAAAATCTAGCCAAAAATAAACAAATAAAGTATACGTGCATTACGCTTATATTTATCCGTCAATGGTAAGATAAAGATTCAGGGAATTTGATGATTTTGCATAAAAATAAAGTAAACATGCAAAATGAAAAGAAAGAATTATGGAAATAATGGACACTAAACTTACTTCTTAAGGAATAAGTTAATATTAAGCATCAGTCAGTAAAAATCCTTGTTCAGATAAATATTTGAAACAACTGACAATTGTAGAAGAAAAAAAAAACAAGAAAAAATAAGCTATTTAACTAATTACGCCGTACATTAACCTAATTTAGAAGTAGGGTCACGAAGCTTATCGGATAAAAAGATCAAACATTAAAATAAATACTTCATTTTTAAAAAGAACCCTTGACTATGAACACCCTACAGTTAACTATCCTTCAACACGTTAGTATTAGGAAACCCTCTCTAAATTTATTTCATCAGATAAAGATAGCGGATATTTTGACAAGTCTGTAAAAATAGAAATAACTCCACAAAGAAGTCACGCCCTTCAGTTATATAACTTAGAACGGGGTCTCAAACTCATACCACCCTTACGGCTGGCCGCACCAAGGCATTTTCAATGGCCCGACTTTGCAATCTCTCGTCTAAACCTCGTGACGCCAATAATTTTGCAGGCTAACAGGATACGGCAAGGCGTTCCGCGTGTGGGAGACTCTACTTTAGAATTAGTTGTTATCATGTATCCTTTTCAGTTATTATTTCTGGAGTAAATAAAATCGATTGTACGTAAGCCATAATAAAGAATCCCAAAGAAGAAGCTTTACCTATCGATAAGAATAGCAAGTGTTGTTGTGGTAAACCCCACCTCAACTTATTTGTTGCAAGTTCACTTGTTTTTTTGCTTCGTATCTAGAGTTGATCGCCGACGGAGCTATTTGCCCGGTATCGAGTAAAGTCAATACAAAGTATGAACTTATGTGTGGAATAAATACATAATCTAACACACATACACACACACATAAACACACACACATACACACACACACACACACACACACATATATATATATATATATATATATATATATATATATATATATATATATATATATATATATATATATATATATATATATATATATATATATATAACACAGAATCAGAATAACTCTAGTCCCCGATATAAATAAAAAAAATTAATCAAATTTCAAAACAATAAAATTTCACAAGCAAATGATATAAACGTTACAATTCGAAAGATACACTTCTTTCTTTTTGTATCGAACTAATTAAGGAATTTCATAAGATGATAAATAAGATTTTAAAATTAGCCAATTCAGTTTACGATAGAATCAAATCATTTTTTTAAAAAAAAAAAAAAAACCAGTTTGAAGATCGAATTTGTCCGATTCCGTCCCGCAGGTCCAGTTTAGACTATACTTTTGGTTCCGTTGCTCCGGTAAGTTTTTAGGTACATTTTACTTTCTTTTCAAAATTCTAAGTGTCTGGCCTTTTCGTTTTAGACTGCCTCTCTTTGGCTTTTCACTCTGGGTTGTAAAACGTCTTTTCCCGAAACTATTTCACCTTGTAAAGAATATAAAAAGCAACCCAAATCTTCCATCCCATTATACTGAAATAAGTCAATAGTCTCACCACTCGATGTCAGATGTAATTCTATCGGATTCAAACAGAGAATGGCTATCTATACAGAACAGAGGACTTAGTTCCCAGACTAATGGTCCGCGAAAGGGCCATTTACGCCACACGAAACATTAATTCCTCATTAGTCTCATTATACTTGAACGAATTAAAGTCCTTACCATACATTAGTTATCATTACATATAATGCATTCGTTCAGATAATTTCAACGGCTTACGTAATATGAACATTTCATCAATTCGTCCATGTATATAAATAACAAAATCATTGAACAATTTAAGATAAATTAACTCAGCACAGTTATGTACGATACATAATTCCTTCTAATGAATAAGCATCAATTCGGGATATATAATTCCCTCCAACAATCGAGACTATAACTTAGCGAACCGTCAATGAACATATAAAGAAAAATATATTCGTGCGGTCACAAATAAACAAACTTAACACAAGTATACCATATCAAGAAAATTAATATACGACTCAAACAAACGAATGCATGCACATACAAGCAATAAAATCATAGTATAAGCGACGTACATGAGATTTATGTAAATACCTAGTGTTTCAAGCTTGGTGTCTGTAAAATCCTTCAGACAATCGTTTCTCCTTGGGCTAAATTTTCTTAACGAGAAATTTACTCATGAAACTTCTCTGAGTCTTCCAGGTCTTTTATTCTTCCCTCTTGTTGAGAAGTGTAGACTGAAGTTCGAAGTCCACTCCTGCACATTTAAACTTAAGATTTCCGTGTGAAACCACGCCGCCTTTCCAGCGTGACCAATCTAAATGAAATACACTTCCCACCCGAACCACAATGTTACAGCAATGTAGTTCGTATGGCAACCTTGATTATCTAACTGATTTCTTTTAACTTTCAGATATGACGGTTTTCCATACCGATCAGATTTTGACCCCTTTCTAGTCAATTTAAACAAATCAAGCCCTTAATTATATATCGATAACTCTTGACTTTGGCTGAACCTGTCCGCACATTACGGCTTTTAAAATGCGGCCATTCGCCATGAATCTCATTAATCGCACATGTGTCTAACTAATTGTTCTAAATAAATTAACAACAACGAAACAGAGATCGACCTAAAAGAATTGGTCATTTACATGTGTGTCGGTGTGTGTCTGTAATTTTTCAGAATCACGAATGCTTTTAACTGTTTAGGACATAAACTCATATTAATCAAGTGGTCTGTCATCAGATGGTCTAAGTTTTGCTACTTTGCAATAATTTTGTGATTTGATAAATGAACATTACGTCGTCGTAATCCTGGATGAAAAAAGTCATTGGAGAAATTGTCACATATTAATGAATAAGTTTTCCTCATATTGGGACATATTTTTTCAATCGATAACGCGACCCTTTTGAATAGTTGACACTGTAAGAAAGGTCCAGTACCTATATCTAGCCTAGTTCTCAGCGCCTATACACATAACGTATAACAACGAAAAGGGGACCGCTCAGGTGGCGTAAGTGGTTGGAGCGTCCGCCTTGGATGTGGAAGGTCCCGGGTTTCAAACCCCGCTCGAGTCATAATACGACTTATAAAAATTACCTCGCTTGGCCATCAGCATTAAGTTGTTAGTGTTAGAACTGGTAGGCCTGGTGTCAGGATAATGTGACTGTGTGGGTCATCATGCTACATGTCTGATGCATGATGACCAGTACTAGATATCACTATAAACCCCTACACTGCAGACATCGTATCGATGTGACTGAATTTTTTTTTTAAAACTACGTTAAAGATGCAAATCACACATGAAAATGGAACCAGTCTAATATAGAACTTAATCACATTTATTTCTGATGTGAAATAGTTAACACCTTAAAGGCTGTATTTATTATTAGATTTGAATTTAATCAAACTGGGTGTATGATAATATTGTCAACATCTTCGATGAATTAGATTATCATAACATGGAAGTAAACTGACTTCTTATTGACCAAACCAATCTTTTTAGTGGACTTGGCCCTGCTTTCCAAATACTTGAATTAATGGTACAATGGTGTTGACGCATTTGACGTCACATACATAACAAAGCCATACATCAAATATATTAATTGTGTGTGCATTTCACTGCACCAATATATCTTGATAGAATGAATTAGACGTCAACTTTGGTGGGGATAATTTATGAAAATAGAGCAATGAAAATTGTACTGCACAATATTTACTGTCTAGAATGACTACACTTCAAAACTGACACTTGGAGCCATCAGTCCCAGGTTCATCAAGGTACGATCTCCTTAACTCCGATATGGTGAGTTTGGGTTTACCCGCTCTCCTAAATTCTAAGTTATGTAGAAGTTTTAAAGTTCTTTTTTCCTTCAAATAATTGGCGCCTTATTATTTTTTCAAGTTAAATGAAGTGCATTATATAATTGTCCATGTAAACGTCTATATCCCTTGCTCATAATATTGTACAGTAGTAGTATTGACTGTAATAGATCTGACGCCACTACCTCGGGTATTACTTTTTTTTTTCTTCAATATCTAAAATTCTTAGCTCAGTGAGCTGTTTTTTCCTTCTGTTGTTATCAACGCATAATTACCACACAGGGGGTCTATACTGCACATAATCGACATTACATGAATGTTGATTAGTCTTAAATTAACTGATTAACGATTAATTGGTTGTTTTAAAAAAATAATACAAAGGGAGAATGGCGAAAGATGCAACTATGAAATCATTTTAATAAGATTTGCTTTATTTTATTGTTCACCTATCTTATAAACCTTTAGCTTGTTAATTCCTTTTTTTGGCTTCGCCATTGTTCTGAATGACTCGTGAAGTTTCTCAATAATGGTGTGGTCGAACCATTTTATTATTCCTTATGCAGCTGAAATGAATTCGCCAGACGCAATTCTATCCATTTCTTTGAAAATTTGAAGCATATCGGTACTCTGCAAATCTTATTCAGTTTCTTTCCAAATTTCATCACAATACCCGCTATCTGATTAAATATATTTTGTCTTCAAATTTTATTAAAATCATGAAAGGCAGTAGATAATCAGCTGTTTGGTAGAGATTATTCATTTTTTTAAAAAAATACCTTTGTTGATACTTAAACTTAATTTTATACCAAGCCCTCTCGTGTTTTTGTAACAAACGCTCATTTCACACCAGCATTTTGACATGTTCCCTGTATGTTTGTATCTTTCTCTAATTTCAGAGAAGACGCTCAAGACTTTAGTCAGTTTGGAGCTTATCGTAATGTCGTTTATAATTTTTGCTGAGGTTATCCCATTCAAGCACATCCGTTTAATCATATATAAATACTTATCTGCTGTGACATTATTTATAGCTTTAAATTTAATTGACTATTGAAATGACTCGTTTTAAATAAATGGTAGCATACTATTAATGATATATTTTACATCATCCTGAACTAATAAGTCGCTTTTTCGTCACGAGATGACACAACCTACACGAGTTCATTTCTTGGACGTTTACCCTATTGTTATACAGACATTTATTATGCACACAAAAATTTTGAGGTTTTTTTTGTGATCACACGTCTTCATTCCCTTGCATAATTTATTTTTCGTGACAAGTCGGAAACAAATATACTTTTGACCTTAAACCACATCGCAATTTTTTGTTTGTTGTGTTCCCTTTAATTTCGTCTTTCAAGAGAACCAGTGTCTCGTTGTCTCGTTGTTTATTTGTATGTTTAACACGTCTTTCGATTCATCACTGGTGTCATTAAATGTCATAGAAGTTGTCCGCATGTCATAGAAGTTGTCCGCATCAGCATAAATACACAATCTTTATTGGTCGTAAGAACGTGCATTTTCTTTCATCATACTAGGTTTTTCTTCTTCACTTTCTCGTAATAGAAAGATTCTTACATGAAACACTCGATAGTTCTAACATTGTTAATCCATCGTAAATCAGTTTTTCTAATTTGATTTTCTTTTGCTTCATGTTGTCACTACCAAATCGGGAACTATCCCGGTTTCGATCACCAATCTCTCTCTCTCTCTCTCTCTCTCTCTCTCTCTCTCTCTTTATATATATATATATATATATATATATATATATATATATATATATAAATATATATATATATATATATATATATATATATATATAAATATATATATATATATATATATATATATATATATATATATATATATATAATGAAATTTTTTGGATATGTAATTTAATACGTAAAATAGTGATATAAAAATTTTTGTTTACTATTATAAATATGCGGCTTCACTTTTCATATAGTAATGGTTGAAATGAAGTTGATTCAAACTGACAACATTGAGATTTTAGTTATCGTCCGAAGTTTTGTTGTTTCTATTAGTATGATATTCATCATTGTGAAAGTTTAATCGATTAAGATGATCGCTTAAATTATTTAAATTCGTAAATATTTTTTAAGTTGCAAATTACATCTGTTACTGCTGAACGCCATTAATTTTTCTCTCTCAATAAACTGTGGAACCTAAAAATCAGAGTCTGGTTTTTCAGTCAAGTTTAAGATATGTATGCACTCGGGCACATTAATTTACATGCAACACAATTACACAAAATTACATACATCCAGGATGTTGACCGTCAAGGAAACACAAGCTGCTGTATGATGTCATAGTATCAAAAGTCAACGTCTTCAAAATATCATCTTCTGACATTTCCAACAAGGGTTCTCCTTCCGATTTGATTTATTCAGTAGTTGGACATACTTTTACTGGAGTAAATTTACACGTCCTGTTCATAAAGGTTGTTAGATTTCTAGTGCGAGCTATTTACCGTTCTACTCTGTCATTGTACGAAGAAAAGCAATTACATGATTCTCTTTGCTAATTAATGTGACATGATTATCCGAGTGGTCTATGGGGCTCGCCTTTACATGTCACTGTCTGCTTAAGTTCAAGTCGCGGCCAACGTGGGTGTGCACGAAAGCTTGCCAGTTGGTCGGTAGTTCTTCCCGAGTTTTTTCTCCAGCAAATATACAAACCACCATGTATGTAGCCTATCATACACTGAAAAATGATTTTCAACCAAACAAGCAAATTTATACTTGCTTCTGTGTAAGAAAGCGAACGCTTGGAAGACAAAATACGGGAAAAAATTAATTTCACAGTGGGATTGGAACGTGGTCTACATAACGTCACTGCACCAAATAATTAATTGACAGTCTGACATGAAATTCTTTGGTCATAATGTAATCAAAGTCCATTAAAAAAAACCTTTTAAATATAAAATTGATAATTTACTCTAGTGGATTTTGATGACTATTTCTCTTGAAACCCCCCCCCCCAAGATTTACCGACTAGCATAAAATTAATATGCAACACACTCACACACACAAACACAAACACACATACATACACACACACACTCCCACTCCGTTATAAAGGTGTAGTCTTCACGAAAAGTGTGTATTTCGTGATGTTGCTCATTTTTCACGAATAAAGTTGCGATTGACACCCACTTTTTGAAGAAAGATGATTGACAGCAATTATATTTTCAATAACGTATATATATATATATATATATATATATATATATATATATATATATATATATATATATATATATATATATATATATATATATATATATATATATATATATATATATATATAAACACAACACAGAAACGTATTTACAAGTACGGCACATACAAATCGGGGGCCTTATCTATGTCCAACAAATTTTGTACACTCTCTCATATAATCAAAACCAGGGGAGTGCAAAAATGCACCCATCATGTGTTGACATGGTGGTAGAGTGTATTTGTTTGTTGGATAACGAAAATTTCTCTGGACCCCCTTTTAAAAATGGCGTCCGGAGTATATTCGTCGACTTTGCTCGTGACGGGAATCTTACCCAGGGCGTCGGTATGAGAATCTAACACTCTAACACTGAGCTATGAAATTCAGTTGCAAGAACATGTTCAAAAACTTATGTAGTTACCAAATAGTATTACATATTCTGTTTCTGAAAAAACGAGACTTTGCATTACATTTTCTGATTCTGAAAGCGTTATTATAAGGAAATCTAGAAAATACATGATTTTGTTTTAATAAAAGATATTTCTATTTAAATCTGTACAGAAAAATGAAATCCTAATGTTCGCTGAACACAGAGGCTATAAATAGAATAACCGTTGCCAAGGATACGAGTCAATTATTGTCCACGAGTGGGGTGAATGAATAAAGCCGCTGTGTGTGTGTGTGTATATATATATATATATATATATATATATATATATATATATATATATATATATATATATATATATATATATATATATATATATATATATATACATTAGATAAAGAGACTCTGCAACAGAGAAATAATCAATATTCCGTATGAATGGGTTTTTGCGTAATTGTTTATAAGTTTTTTTACCAACATTTATATTTTCTGTACTTTGTATTTCCATTTTATTACATAAATTTTATAAACTTAAGACTATCGAAAACAATAACTTATTGCAGATAATTTTCAGTACAAAAGCAAAACATTTTACTCGCATTATTTGCTAATTTATCAAATAGAAAAAGT